CCGCTCCCCATTCCCAGTGCATCGGCGCCGTGGGCGCCATCCCGATGCGCATCGGGGCGAGAATCATTTCAACTGGAGCAAGGTTCCGGGTAGTTTTTTTTTGCGCGACGCAGCCGGACTCGCCAGTTTTTCGGGATACCCTCCTCGGTCTCGGACCGCCACGGCGGCACGCATCGAGCCCCCGTCCAGGACCCACGCGGTCGGGTTCGGGGCACCCGCGGCTCCCGCGCAATGCGATTCCCAAGCTCAGGGCTTGCCAGTTCAGTCTCACCCCCCGTCACAGCGTCAGTGGAGTGAGGGGCTCACTTGCGTCTCCTGTGTCTGCGGACCAACCCGAATGAATGGGCGCCTCCAGGTCCGGACAGCCTGGATGATCGCCTTTTTTCAAATTCGCAGAATGTGATGTTATGTGATGTTTCCCAGGGTTGACCGATGCTCTGGCTGATCCTGCGAGCAAGCGCAGTGGCATGACCCATTGCATCGCACTGACACATTTTGGGCCAAGCGCGCAGCGATACGTATTGATCGCAGTTGACTGGCAATGCGCACGCCTGTTAAGTTTGTTCCACAGCTCGATACAGGCATAGATGCGTGAAGCACTCGGAGGATAGGATCTTACAAAATGGGCGGCAGTCATCGTCTCTCATCTTCCTTACCAGAAACGATAGATGCACCACAGTAGTTGCTCACATTCGCAGTTTAGAGGTCTATGGATCCCGTGCGTCGACTAGGACGCGATTACTGGTTCTGATGATTCTCGAAGCGTGCGCGTCTGCAACTGCACTGCGGCCCTGCGTTGCCTCATCCTACTCGCGCTACTCTACTGAGGTTTTCTCGGGCCCCGTGGGGTATCTTAGGCCATGCCGAAGGGGGGTGGCGGCGAGGGAGAGGGGGGGGGAAACTCCTCGCTCACTCCGACTTCCGACGCCCCGATCCCCTCGGCTTGCGGTACTTCGGAACCGCCCTCGGCACCACCAGGGCCCATGCCGATTCCATCGGTCCGATGCGATGCCGAGCTCGCCAGGCAAAATCCAATTCGATGTCGATTCTTTGGCGATCCGACGCGTCCCGATGCTTGCGCAGCGCGGTTGTGTCTGGGGCGCAGCCGATCCGGGTCGATTCGATCTCCATACCGTTGCGTCCCGATCTGACACGCACACGTCGACTCGATCCTAATCCCCCGATTCGGTGCTGACTCATCTTGCCCCACGTCTCGCATCGCCGTCACCGCGTTCCCAGGTTGCCTGACGCGGGCCTCCTGGCTCCAGAGCTCCAAGTCCCCCCCAGGCGGAGAGACCGCTCGGCGATCCAGTGGCTGTGTCCGGGTCCAGGGGGCCGTCAGAAACAAGTGCAGGGCGAAAGCGCGGTGCTTGGGAGCGGGGCGAGAGTTTTGGCGGTCCCGCGTTTGAAACAACAAATCGCCATGTCCGAGGCATGAGACTCAGGCTCTTGCTGGCGCAGGCTTGAGCCACGGGTGCAAAGGGGGAGCTTGCCACAGAGCTCCATGCCAGTCCAACCAAAGGAGCAGGCGTTCCGGTTCTCTGGCAACGGGAAGGCCCCTTCCTCTCCCTCCCCCTCCTCCCTCGTCATCCCCTCCCTCTCAATCCTCCACCCCTCTTCCACCATTTTTTGTTCGCCTCTCTGTGAATCCCCATTCCCCTTCCCCTCGCCCCCGGCTGCTCACCCGTCCCACTTTTTCCTGCCCGCCCCGGATGTTTCTGACGTTTCAGCCAAGGAGAACGAAGTTCGCAGGCGGCATGTCGAAGTTCGATCGAGCACCGAATTATGAGCAAGGTGGAAATGGGGCCTTCTTGGCGTAGGTGAGGAGCGCGTTGGCGCCATCCGACCCGCCCATCTTCCCTTTTTCTTATGGGTAAGTCCTCCCTGTCGCACCACCAGGCGTGTACGCGGGCTGGGCCGGGCGTTTCCTTTGAGTCATCGTTGCAGAGGGGGTTGGTGGTTTGCACAATGCAGCACTCGCCCTCTTCAAAGCTTCCAACTGCTCTACGGATGGAGGGCCACTCGTTTTTAAATGCGGTTTTCGCCTCGTCGCTGCGAACTTCCGCTGCAAGCGCTCACAAGATCATCTACACGGTCCGAGGATGGCACGTTTTTTACCTAACAGCGAAGACTGATAGGTTTCAAGTAGGGTCAAAAGAGAGCATCATGACGCCCCAGGGGGGTCTGGGCGCGATCCGGGGGAGGATGCTGGGGACTCCTTTTTTAGCCAACAGTAGCGCACTTCGTGGTCTTCGACTTCCCAGAACTCCATTCCTGGGCATGATTTTGAATGCCCGGAACCAACTGTAGGCCACTTCGTGTTCTTCGAGTTCCCAGAACTCCATTCCTGGGCATGATTTTGAATGCCCGGAGCCAACTGCAGGCCACTTCGTGTTCTTCGAGTTCCCAGAACTCCATTCCTGGGCATGATTTTGAATGCCCGGAGCCAACTGTAGGCCACTTCGTGTTCTTCGAGTTCCCAGAACTCCATTCCTGGGCATGATTTTGAATGCCCGGAGCCAACTGTAGGCTTCTTCGTGTTCTTCGAGTTCCCAGAACTCCATTCCTGGGCATGATTTTGAATGCTGAGGCAGGCAGGCTGAGGCCGAGGCTGAAGGCAGACTGAGGCTGAGGCTGAAGCAGGCTGAGGCTGAGGCTGAGGCAGGCTGAGGCTGAGGCTGAGGCAGGCTGATGCTGAGGCAGGCTGAGGCTGAGGCTGAGGCTGATGCAGGCTGAGGCTGAGGCAGGCTGAGGCTGAGGCCGAGGCTGAAGGCAGACTGAGGCTGAGGCTGAAGCAGGCTGAGGCTGAGGCTGAGGCAGGCTGAGGCTGAGGCTGAGGCAGGCTGATGCTGAGGCAGGCTGAGGCTGAGGCTGAGGCTGATGCAGGCTGAGGCTGAGGCAGGCTGAGGCTGAGGCCGAGGCTGAAGGCAGACTGAGGCTGAGGCTGAGGCTGAGGCTGAGGCTGAGGCTGAGGCTGGCTGAGGCTGAGGCTGAGGCTGAGGCTGAGGCAGGCTGATGCTGAGGCAGGCTGAGGCTGAGGCTGAGGCTGATGCAGGCTGAGGCTGAGGCAGGCTGAGGCTGAGGCCGAGGCTGAAGGCAGACTGAGGCTGAGGCTGAAGCAGGCTGAGGCTGAGGCTGAGGCAGGCTGAGGCTGAGGCTGAGGCAGGCTGATGCTGAGGCAGGCTGAGGCTGAGGCTGAGGCTGATGCAGGCTGAGGCTGAGGCTGAGGGCTGAGGCTGAGGCAGGCTGAGGCTGAGGCAGGCTGAAGGCTGAGGCTGAGGCTGAAGCAGGCTGAGGCTGAGGCTGAGGCAAGCAGGCTGAGGCTGAGCTGAGGCTGAGGCAGGATGCTGATGCGAGGCAGGCTGAGCTGAGGCTGAGGCTGAGCAGCTGAGGGCTGAGGCTGTGAAGGCAGACTGATGCTGAGGCTGAAGCAGGCTGAGCCTGAGGCTGAGGCTGAGGCAGGCTGAGGCAGGCTGAGGCTGAGGCAGGCTGAGGCTGAGGCTGTGACTGCGACTGCCGTTGCCACTGCGACTGTCATCGCGAATGCGACTACGACTGCGAGAACAGCAGAATTCTACAATTGGATTCTAATCTGAATCTTAAGGGGAATGCTTCCAGATATGCTCCTACACATCGCTGTTAGGTTGCTTTGCCAGGATAATTTTTAATGGGGCTATCGCCTGAGATTTCCCCAACAACCGGCACACGTGTAGAATGATGCAACGTTGGCACGGTTGGAGGGCCGCTTGAAGCTCTGTTCTTAACAAAGCTGGGCTGTCCACAGGTACTTCCCTGCATGTTTAAACCACACCCTGCCGCATCCCTCAACAGGGGAACGAACACTGACACAAACATCATAACTCGGAGGTCCGCGCGGATTTCTCGCATCGGCGCCTGGGCCCCCTGGCGGCGCCTCCGGCGCCGCCCCTGGCGCGCTCCGCGCGCCAGGGGGGGGGGTCCAGAGCGGATCCAAGTCCGCGCGGACCTCCGAGTTGTTATTCATTGTTCGTTCCCCTAGAGTTTGGCCGGGCACGTCCCTCTACAGGAGGAATATATTCAAAAAAGAGTCCATAAAATAATCGGGGAGCGATTGTTTGTCCACTTTTGAAAATAGTTCTGAGTATTTTGGGGGGGCTGTTTCACTTTTCGCTCTGTTTGTGTATTGATGATAATGATGATGAGGATGATGATGATGATGATGATGATGATGATGAAGATGAAGATGATGATGATGATGATGATGATGATGATGATGATGATGATGATGATGATGATGATGATGATGATGATGATGATGATGATGATGATGATGATGATGATGATGATGATGATGATGATGATGATGATGATGAAATGATGATGATGATGATGATGATG